AACTCGTTTAATTTTCCTCACTGTTTCACTTAGTGCAATTATTCAATGTATAGTAATAATATACACATGGTTTGTGTTGATTACGAGAATGTAATCTAGTTAGCTCTATTATTATTAATCTACCATCTGACACTGTAAACTTAATACTGCAATGTTTTTGATCACCAATAGTGGAGATGAATTTCTTCTGAAATTTCCATTTACCTGAAACACTACAAATACAGTGTCACGATTGAATGTCTAGGTTGCATTATATGTCATTGTTATCCTCATCAACACAACAGGTCTGTGTATCTTACAATATTTTAAGTGTTTCTCTATGTTGTTAACACTGTGCATAGTTGCTTAGAGTTGAGGCATGTTCAGCTTATATTTGTGACTACAGGTTCCTAAATATGAGAATGTAATTTCTGTAGGATTCAGAAAACTATGCTCACTAGACATTACTGAGATTGTGGATCAATTTCTAAGCTACATATTTGCAATATCTCATTTAACGTAGACGTATTTAGTGTGAAATTGACGAGAGAATGACGTCTCATCAGTATGGGTGTTTCAGAGTTTATCTTGAAATTTGCGTGTAATCCTCTTATGCTGGACAACTTATGAGGTCTATATATGCATACGGTGTCAATATAAAGACCAGCTGTGGACTACAAATACTTTTAATTGTATGAGAACTTTACTTAGTATTAATAGAATCAGTGTATACTAATGTATAAAATTATGTTTCATAACTTCATGTTGTGCTTCATATTTTAGGTATATGGAGGTTGTGGAATGTGAAATCAGTGGAAATGTCAATCTGTCAAACTAACGCTAATACCCTTCATCAGATTTTTCATTTGTAAATTAATGAAATGCTTAATATACTCTTCATTTCTACTCCTTCTGAACTTCTTCAATGCGTCGCCATACTTTGAGCTTTCGTAATATGTGAATTCTGATTAATGCATGTTAAGCTTAGTGGAATGGAGATCTACTACAGTATTATGAGACTGTTACTTTGATCATTCATAGGATTTCGCGTCTGTTTCTATAAAATAGCACATTGTGAAACCTAAGTAGGATTAAGCAAGTTGAATTGTAATTTCGTAATGTTCGTTACGCTAAAGTCTCCTTATTTAGCCAGTTGCAAGTCTGTATACTGCTAAACGCCAAGTATGTAGCACAAGTAAATGCAGTAAATTAGAGTTGATAGTTACTTCATTATTCAGTTAATATGCAGTGGCATCATCAAATAGACTGTCTACTTGGCGACGAGCTAAGAAACAATTTTTATTTATTTCTGATATGCTGTTGAATCATGTGATGTTATCTAATATCCATCATTTCTATGATCAACAACTGCAGTGTTTGAATATCTACTTTGTTAAGTATGCCGATGATCTAACTATTTCAGTGTCTGTCAACTCCCAGCTAGACAGTACTAAAATGAACAGCTTTCTATCAGAAATTAGGAAATGGTCTTCGTCTAACGGCCTTAAACTAAATCCTTCCAAATGTCAGGCAGTTAATTTCAGTTTTAGATGTAAAAGAAAGTTAACTGAAGCTGTTAATTCCCATTACTGTCGTATAACTGGTGATAGTGATATAGAAATCAAGTCGGACGTTAAGTATCTTGGATTAATTCTTTCTTCTGACCAATCCTGGTATTCCCATGTTTTAGCGATTTCTAAAATAATATTTCGTCTGACTGTTCACATTAAGAAGTTAAGGCACTCAAGCATAACTTATCCCCTACTCTTACAGTTTGGCAGCTCGTGCATCTTACCTATACTTGACCTATTCTTCTTGCTTCAATCATGATAGTACCGTGTTTCGCAGAACTCATCACACAGATTACTAGCCTTAAATGTATACCACATGCAGGTATAATGCTTATGAGCTAGATATGCGAATCAAAGTAAACGTTTGTACGGTGCATTCATTATTTATAAGACTAACTAGTATGTAAGAGCTACGATTTGACCAGTTATACAACGTTGAATATATTTAAACACAATTAACCTACGCTGCTTACTTCTATGACGTATTACCTAGAGCTATGTAGTTACCTTAAAGTGGTTTTCGCTAATACCTTAGTGAGCAACTTAACGTTATCTTTGAATTTCAAAGTAAGAGCGCACATCCTGAGAACCTTCTTGGTAAAAAGATCGTCTCCCACTCGAAAAAAAGTAAATATACCATAATCTCAACGAAAGCGTTTAGAGGTATTCATCCTATCACCTCAAATGACTCATTATTTGCAGTCACTTCAAAAGTAAGAATAAATTTACCGAAGATATTGTGCTTATGACTTCTAGATATCATAATGTACCATGAGGGAAAGCCTATATCCATAGGGTTTTAACAGTTAGAAGCGCGACATTAATCCGAAACACGACGACTACGATTCTTAATCACAGAACATCCTTGCTTTGCTACCTAATCTTCTAATCGTATTAACAGATGTTTCGCCAAGAAAAAAACCAATGGTTTTGGGAAAATTTATTTAGTTTTCCTAAAGATCCTGGTCATCCGTATCTATAGCCACGGAGAAATCACAAACATTCAAAAATAAGGATTTCATTATTTGAAATGAAACAAGCAATCTGTATTCAGCCAGGAATAGTAATCAGCTTCTCAGCTTGTTGTAACCACCGATTGTAGACCGCAACCCGGAACGTTATTCTTGCTAATTAAAGTCTTACCTTTAACTGGGATAGTTCGTACACTCACCAGATCACCATGTTGTCCGCTTTGTAAGTCGTTTTGCAACACACGGAATGGCTGTTAACACTGGCTTTTCTACAGACGGTCCTAGTCCATGTATTTGGATCTAGTACATTGGGTATTATTAAACATAGGTAACGCGGCGAAGTTCTACAATAGAGTCCCAAGGAACGAACGCACAAGTGACCTTGAACCGACTAATGAGAAAAAAGGTGATTTTTGCATAAAATTTTACGTATTTTTACATAAATAAGCATGAAAAAAAATCAAACAGGGTACTCTTCTCTAATATGAGATAAAAAAATGTTCCAATTATTAAGAGGAGTTTCAGTTTTTAAATTAAACCAATTTCTATACATGTCTTCATTCACATAACTGAAAATAACTTCGTTTTGTGATCCGTTGATAGCTCAGATTCTATTTTTCAGTCTTCCCCAGAAACCTCCGGTGGAATTATTATGAGTATGACAGGGTCGACGGAATCATTCGAATGGTTCACTCTATGATGATGTACCCAAACGTTATTCGCTCTGGCACCCAGTAATTGGACAGAAACAAGATATTCAGGCAAAGTTAAACTTTCGACACCAATAACAACCAATCGTCAAAGACAGTTTCAACGTTTCAAAGGAAGTTCCTAGAAGACAAATAATTCAGTGTCGCTTACCAATATGCACAATTATTCGCGCTAGAATAATGGTGAGCTTCCTCAACCAATGACTAGCATGCGTTCAGGGTCATTGGAACATTCACAAGGTCATTGAAACATTTACAATCTTGGGACTCTATTGTAGAACTTCGCCGGTAACGCTTACCATTTAGGGGTTTCTGATTGCTTTCAAGTTTCTTTCAGTTCCAAAACTACGTACATGCACAACACATTCATACTTTTCATGTGGCTCAACCTAGTTTGATTTAGATTCTCTGACAAAATATTTGATTTTCTAACTGATAATATACACTGATGGTCTACTCAGCTTCTCGAATAGCTTCAAAGCTTTTTCAACTTCAAACCATGTTCTGAAATCTCCAGGTTTAATATGCTCCTCGAAAAATTGTCAATATCAACCCTGATCGTATTCCCATCACCAGATTGACTCGTAGATTGCTGCATGTTGTTAATATGAACGTGAAAGACATTGCAGTTTCCGGATTTCAACATACTAAGTAATCAATTGAGCCAGAAACAATAACGGCAACCAGCAAATGAACTAAAGACAACAGCTTTTGTCAGCTAAACATGTTCACGTGCATATTTTGCAAAACTTCTACACAGCACTATTTCATTAATAGCTGAAAAACGACTAAAACACTGAAATCACGCATGAATTCAAGGTATGAAACGACTATAATGAAATGAACGCATTGACGCGGTGGTAAAAACCTTCGAAACCAACGAAATAACTAATTTCAACAGCAACGGAAACAAAAATCAGTTGAAAAGCAACATTTGTGAACAATATGCATCAAGATTATTTGTGAATAACTGCAGAATAAACGTAAAAACCAATGTGTAAACGAATGGCTACGGAACTGCAATCCAACATGGCCGACTAACATGGACGAAAATGACCTTTGTGCGTCTCACCCATCAATGACCTTGAACATGCGGGATAATTTCAGCCCTTCTGGTATGCAGAGTTTGTGGATAAGACCATGAAAATGCTTATGAATGGTCTTGCAGACTTGATAGTTCTGTCAGCCGCCTCTGTTAATTCCTTCAGGGGTGACTTGTGGAAGGATACAAGAATTTTTTGCACTGTAATAATAGTAATAATAGCCTTTGCAACCACTACTGTTTTAGGCATGTTCCGTCAATTTGGGAATTAGCAGCTAGCCGTTTCATTTGACAAAAAATTTGTGAGGACTAACAATCTCCAATTGAATGTCTCTGAAGATTTCCTGCACTTTTGTTGGTCAGTAAGCTATACTTTCTTGATTATGGCCAATTCCAGAAAATCGCATAAGTATGAGGAAGAATCGTTCAGGATATCTGAAACGTCTTCCATGACATTTTCAGAGAGAATGACAATTACCGAGTTGGTCTGGCTTTCTTAGGAATGAATACACCGCAAAGAGAACTGGGCTTCAACACGTGAGAACAATGAAGATGGTCGATTTGCCAAAAAATTAGGGATTTGCAGCGTAACTGCTATTTAAGATTCTCTTCAAAATAATTTTCTAAAATACTTTCAAGTTTAACAGCTGATCATATTCTTCCCAAGAGCTTTTCGGACTGTAGACAATAGTTCAGTTGATTACTTAGGTAATTTCTTCTGCCATTACTAGCATAAAGACGCAGAGGTGCTTTCAGCATTCATCGGAAAACAGGAAATAAGCGATTTCTACACAGTTTTTATCCATGAGGTTCCAAAATATGCATCTGATGTATACACCTGTTTCCCATCATAGCAAACAAAGTCACGAAAAGTCAACAGTCAAAGTTACCTGGGATATAGGTAATTGACATTCAGTTTGCGCGGTTTTTGAATGCACTGTGTTACGTCTTCATGATGCTTCCTTGTAACTGAATAATTATGGATTGTAAAACGTCAGTTAATGGGTTTCGCAAAACAGTTTCACATTCTTTCGACCATTGTGGTCCTACTGCGAAGCGCCTTTCACTGAAAACTATCTCTAGTATGTGTTTCGGAAAATTACACATATGTTATAGATTTTAAGATCCTTCCTTCGGCCGCACAAATTTTTCAGGACTCATGCTCGAAGCTGCAAAGTGCAACAAAAGCGGTTTTTCTTAGCGAACCTGTCGAATTGACGTTAGAGGAGCTATATAGGGTTTGTCTTCAGTTTATTTAATTTCATACTGATAGAATGTCGAGGATATATGTGCTCAAAGGATGATAATGGAACTGTATGCAAAGCTGAATGTATTATTCAGTGAATTCGTTTCTAGTTTGCAGCCCCAGTTCCTCAAATATCCTTTTAAATCACTTTGATAAACCATCACTCCTTTTGTAATGTGGTCGTTATAAATGTCATAGACCTCTAAGGATCTGGATAGTATTCAGTTGTACTACTGAAAACCATCCATTTTCTTTACCTAGCAGAGGAGTTGACAGGTTACTGAGATGTAGTTTGGTTTTTTTATTAATAATCAGGCACGAGTATTTTGTTTTCTATTGCTTGCAGTTCCTACTATTAGCAGCACTGAATTATATACATTTTTATTGAATCATCAGCTGAGTGTTAAATCTTCATTAGGTTGCACTTCAGTATTTTGATCAGTCTGCATAAAACTGTTCTGCAACAAGCGAACTATCCAAGCATTTTCCTAAGGACAAAAATCCGGAAAACCTTTTAGTGCGTGGGTATTTGCGCATTTTTGAATTTTCATATTACGGACAAATTAGCAGGCTTTAGATTTATATGAGTCTTGTATTGCTTATTCTTATTCAACTATACCATATTAAATGAACGGTGTTTGACGTTCCTTGTAATGACTAGGGGTCAATGTTTGGTTTTTGCTTATATTGTTTTAGTTTCATATAACTATTAAGTGATGGTTTTCTTTAAGTTTTATAAATGCCGAATCATTCGCATTCTCAGTATAATGGTGCTGCTTAATCAAGTATAGTTTTCCACTTCTGCTGCTACCTTAACACATTTCTTTCACGGAAGGTTTTCAGCTCAAATCTGTTGCGTACTGTTGGGAGCTATATTGCAAAAAGATGGTCAGTCAAATTATCATATGGTTTATATCTGTAGCTTTTAATCAGAAACATATTTCTTTTTATGGACAGGCAGTTGCTCCTCTTAAATCCACAAAATCTGCAGATATGGTAGGTAAACCAAATAATATTGTATTTGTTTATTTAATTTAGTTGTGATTTGGCTTTTAGTACCTAAAGTGTTTTGTATCCTAGCTACTATGCTGTCAGTGCTAAAACAAGAACTTTGTCTTTTCATTTAAGTTGTCATAAACTTGCTGCACATTTACTGACTTTTGAGGTCGCGCTTTTCGTATTGGTGTGTCTAGAAGTTTTGAATAGTACAATCTATTGACGTGTTTGTAAATATCCGATGAATTGGTCATAGCGGTATATTAATTTAGTCATCTTTGAAAAATCACGATTTCCTAGGTGTTAATCCAATACTATAAAATTACTCTTATGTCTCTTTCAACCAGTTCTAGGACTGGAAAATAGTGAGATCCGCTGGGAGAATGCAGATATTTGAAGTCTGTATTACTGATTGGAAGATAACCAGTTTGTATAAATACAAACCACTGATCCCAAAAATTCCTTATTGTTGTTGTTGAATGATAGCAATTCCAACGACCAGAGTCACCAAAGATCAATCGAACGGAGAGATCAAATTTTGTAAACGTAGGATAGAACTCACACTAAAGCATTTTCAGCCCAGTTTTGTAATTCCAGCCCCAAATACAGCCTGGATTGACGTTTTTTATTTGCTGTTTGTGTACAATGAGGAATCGCGTCCGTCCAATCTGTTTTACATTATAATTAGATGTTAACTGCCTAATGATTGTGTCGTTTAACTGGCTTGTATGCCTAGGTAATGCATCTGCACTACTGTATGCCTTCAGAGCTGTCCGGAGAATACCTTACCTGCATGGATCTATATATATATATATATATATATATATATATATATATATATGTATGAGTTCCATTTTGATTTGTTGACCAGCGTTTAGTTGATATTTGTAGCCAAACAAATTTACGAGCTCCTAGGACTCGTAAATATAGCTTGTCACATTTGCAGTAGGAAGAAAGGAAAAATTATCTCAGGAAAGTAATTCTTTTTATGTAAGTAAGAGTTTGAATAAAAACATAATCTGTGATATTTCGTCAGAAGCACTTGAGTGTAAAACAATTTGAATATCATCGTAATAAGGCACATACAATTTATATTAGTTGGCGTGGTCCCGAAAAAACTTGTGAAACTAGGTGAATTGTTCGCTATTTGCCGTGAGGTGTTTGCCTGGTGACACTGATAAAATATTAATTCTGTAGGAATATGTTCTGTTATTTGAAGTAACTGTAAAATAATAGTTATTTTTGTGTTACTCTTCCATCATTGATATGTATGGCGATTGTTGAGTTGCCGTCATCGTCAATGGTACCATGTGTAAGTTGTAAATAATTTCGGGAGGATAACTCATTAGTGATGAGAACCTCATTTGTCGTGATGTATTCTTATTGCTTGTCGTCATTAACAAGTTGTGTATCGGTTGACTGGGAGATGGTTGGAATGACTGTAAAATATCAGTGAAGGGTGACAGTCTTCCGTGGACTAATTGATTATTCAGTCGTGGAAAGATGTGAGCCGTCAAGATAGGAATGACAACAGTCATTAACTTGTTTCCCGCCTTGTGACTGTAAATACTTTCATTTAATAGAATTCTACGGTATTTTTTCATGTTGTTTCCATTTTGTCTCCATCTATTAAATTGTTCACTTGGAAATATGGGGCACGGCATCATCAAATGCTACACAATAATGTTATGTCGTTTTCTGTCGGTCACATGCAATTCCGTGCTCTTGTAAATGACACATTTGTTGGATGACATGATCATATCACCTGTGAGGTAAAAGACCAGTGATTAAAGTAGGATTCAAACCTATATCTCTGGTTAGGAGTCCTTACATCAATGACCCATAATTCGTCATTCTCTCTGAACTGTTGTGCATTAGTTCCGAAACCAGTTACTAGATTTTTAACCAGTGAGTCACAGGTTGCTATGTGGTGTTATTGGTTCTTATGTGATATGTATGGCTCGTTGTCTAGCTGCTGTTAAATTACTAACATACAAACTGTTACCTTCAACACTAAAGCACTGTTCTTCCCTGAATATATGTATAATTCCTTTACGTTCCCAGTCGAACATAGGGCTTCAATCTAGAGGCTTGAAGTTTCGGTAGCAGTGGTGTTTAGTTTTATGGGATTGATTTGCTAGCCTCATGCCCAACCTCCCCTATTTACCAGTCATATTTCTGGCTTAGTGAGGTAAAGGAGTGCGTCGGCTGGGAATCAAACGCCGAACCATCTGCGTGGTTGGCGAGCATTCTACCACTGTGCTACCGACGCACAAAAGTGCATATTCAAAAAAAGTATTTATGAAGAAAGTATTACAGTAGACACTAATTTTACTCAGAAATCGGTTTTCACAGTGAAGTCTAGTTTTTCAGTGCACATTCCTCGCTAAAGCAGAATTCAAAGAAAAATTAGTAAGGTTTACATATGTGGACTACGGAAATAGTGAAGTTAGTTTCATAGCCTGTTTTCATGCTTAGAAACATTCTTTTTAAAGAATTTTGTTGATTGCCTTTAGCTACGTAATAATCAAACTTACGACGAATAGTACTATCATATTTATCCTCCTTTTTATTTGTCTTTTCCATTCTTTTAAAGGGATTTGGCGCTTAAACTGTTTCGAGAAGATGTGATTACTCGAGAAAAAGTTCAGTCCCGTCTTTTATGTCAAATACTGGAAGAAATACACAAAGAAAGATGTGGGGAAGCTATTGATCGACAGCTTCTGCGTACTGTCATTAGAATGTTAGTGGACTTGAAGGTAGGTTCTCCAGCTTTTATTCAAATAATATTATTAAAGGCTCTTTTAGGACTTTTTCTGTTAGTTCTTAGTGGAAATACGTCACCATATTGTAAATATGATTTCTTGTATAATCTTTAAAACCACTGACAGGCTGTACGTGTGCAGAGTAAGGATGCAATTTATCTGCTCAGACAGAAGCACTTAAAACGTCTACATGTTGCCATATATTTAGTATCCGAATGTTTATGATGAGCTTCCCGGTGGCCATGCCTACAAATCCCCCCGTAAACGTCATTTATTTGTTAACTACGAAGCTCAATGTTCAATGATTAATCAAATTCTGCATGTCTCTTTACTATTATTTAGTTACATTAGGAACAAATAAGTAATATTGTGGATGTCGTCTCGTGTTTGAGTGAGTGAAGACTAGTTCGATAATTAAGACTAAATTCAATTATTGGATTTAGTGTCAGATGTGTTTCTTGTATTCCACCGTAGCGCTTTGTTCTCACTAACCGATAACTCGTCACAGAAGTAGGGAATTTAATGTATAGAGTGACAATTTTTAGTTGAATCGCTAGAATGCGTTTCAAAGTACAAAGTAACATTAGGTTTAAATGTTACCTCATCTGATTTAGGATCTGTTCTCTAAGTGGATATCTAGCCAAAAGTGCCACATTAAACAAGTACTCTATTGGAACAGTCGAATTTCTAGTTCATTATAACCGTGTTAATTACTGACTCTTCATGTTGTGTGTATGTACTTTGGAGTTTCCCTTCATCTCTTTCCTTGTTATAATGTTTCCTGTGTCTGTCTCATCAACAGCCGGTAACATTCCGTGTGTGACACCTATTAGTAAAGTCTTAACCATTTGTTTTGTTCTTCCTACCCATAATTTTGGACAATGGTTACGATTAATTCTACTTAGTTTGTATTTAAGTAGCTGTTAGGCGTCAAGTCCGTAGCCTACCAGAATCAGTCATTTTATATGTAGGTCAGTGCAAATAAGTCTATAAAGATCCATTAGCTCTAATCAACATTCGCTTAAAGTTATTGACTATCATCACCGCTATCATTGAAAGAGATTTAGTCTGGAAGTAACGTTTTTATTAAAATTTAGTTCGTAAACGATTGTCTCCAAAGGTTAGGTTTTGGCGAGATGTATGCAGTGTGAGATTAATAGTGGGTGAAGGTTGCGAATCTCGTTGTTTTGGCCTTTTGTACTGGTTTTATAGCTAAGAACATGGTCCTATCAGACTGAAATGTATTATGTATCATGTCGCACTTCCTGACTTACATATCTGGACTCGTCCAAAGGGATTAGAACCTTTAGTCTCTGTGCATCAGCGAGTTGTTTCGTCTACTATTCGTGGGTTATTTCAATACCTGGAATTGTAATATGGGTGATATATTCAGGAAGAATCGGATATATTTCTTTACAAGTCCCTGTGGAATTCCACTAAGTTTGAATATTTTTTTAGCCTTTGAAGTACTTTTTCAGGAGATTTATTATCTCCATTGTAATCTGTAGGTTTGTGTACTCATTTTACTTAATCTTGATTATTTTTTATTCAGCTGTATGATTCAGTATTTCTTAACGAATTTCTGCGTAAAAGTCAACAGCTGTATACCTACGAAGCAGATTCTCTATCTAGACAGCTTAGTGTTCCTGAATACCTACTTCATGTAGACAAAAGGATTATGGAGGAGGAAGACAGATTAGTTGTATATTTAGATGCCAACTCTACCCGCAGCCTCCTCATTTCAACGCTAGTTTCAGAATTGTTAACGCGCCCATTAGACTATCTATTGGATAATGGTTTGGTCAATCCTTTAAAAACTAAACAAACAGCACAGTTATCGTTATTCTATTCCTTAATTTCAAGAGTTCCAAATGGTATTGATAAACTACGTACACACTTCCGTAATTACATTATACAAATGGGGCGTGAAATAGTAGAAAACCCATTACAGGACGTTGAAAAGGATCGTGCTATGATTCAGAATCTACTGGATTCACGGGACTTCCTTTCAGAAATTATAGGGTCATGCTTCGCTAATGACTCCAGTTTTATGCGAGTTTTGCAAGAAGCGTATGAAGAGTTTATCAATCAACGTCCAAATAAACCGGCTGAATTTTTAGCTAAATATCTTGATTCCCACCTTAGATCAGGAAATAAAGCTCAAACAGAAGAGGAGTTAGACAAACTAATGGATAAAGTAAGTGTTTTTCTTGATTGTCCATTCTTGGTCACTATATATTTCGTTTGACGTTATACGTAGGGAAGTTAAGACTATCCGGTATCATATTGTCTCTGCTGTTACAGTTTGTTAATTTTTGTATTCTGCCTATATTTCACACTGCCCCCTCCTAATTTTTCCAGGGCTACTTAAGAAAGACTGTTATACTGCAAAGAGCACTAAAAGCCGTCAGTAATGCGAGTGGGGTGTTGCTAAACCAACTCGTTAATACTATTGTAGGTAAAGACATAGACTCCTGCAAGGAATTAACAAATACTATCTTGTCAGACTCTGAGCATCTCCATACACAACTCTCTCCTTGCATCTCATCGGGTAAGCACTAGGAGCAACTATATAAGACTGTATGCTTGGACGACCAAGTCCAAAACCTCTACAATACCTTATTTCTCATTTTACCGGAGTTACTGATATTTGTTATGACAACAATTCTATGGTCAAAAATTAGGTAGGTGATAAAAAAATACTTGAATGATCCAGGTCCTGAGTTACCCTACATAAACTTACATTTTTGAATATAACCCCATCCACTTAGATTGGAACAACCAAGGAGTTCAGTCTGCTCTTACCACTGAAGTACATTGTTCTCATTACTGAGGATAATAGTTAATACTTCTTGATATTGTTGATATTCTTCTAAGTGGGTAAAGACAATACTCAACTTGGCTTAAGCCTGTTGTAAATCAGATATCCTTTAATATGCTTGTAGTGTGGTGTGATTATAATGCAAAGCGTGTCTTTTTTTCTTAAGATTGTTAACATTTATTGTTATTATTTGTTGTACACTGAATAAATAACTATCTTTTCGAAGTTCTACGTTTCAAGAACTCCCTTAAATTCTGTGAAGTCACTGGAGAAATACTGAACATGTACTGAAAAGCAGAGGGGGTAGATAAGTTTAAACCTGCAGGGGACAAATGTGTTCTGCTTTTTGCTTTCTCTTTGTGCAGTTATCTCTGAATGCAACTTGCTGGTTTAAGTACTCAACTTCCAGCCAGTGGGTTTCAATTTCGAATCCGGCTCTTGAGCAGTATCATCAGCCTTCACTCAATAAGTGCGGTTCATAGCATACTTCAAGAGAAATATGTTCCGGGGAAGTAATTTCTGATAATTATGAGCACAACCTTCAAATGTACACTGTAATCCATGTACAGTAGGTTGCTCCAAGGTAAATTGTCTGTGAATGACAGCAGTTAGAGTTAAATGTCACCTTGTCCTTGGTTAGTGGCTTTTATGCGTCCACTTAATTGCAACACAACCAGTAATAATAAGACTTCCCGGACAATTTTTATGATTCAAAAAACAATCTAAAACAATTCATTTCGTTATATTATCTCGTGGTTTTCTGCTCCAGACAACAACAATTAATGAATCAAGCCCTCTCAAATTTCACAGTCACTGGTAAGGTTGTCGTTAGCAATATAAGCTCCAATTGTCTCCTAGAGGTGAACTCTTTCTTTAACGATATGAGTTCGGAGTGTTAATAAGAAGCCATAATTGGAAAATGTTCATCATTGAACTAGATCGTATTTAATGGTTCAGTCTTTCCTTGACTAGAAATGGCATACTTTGATTTAAAGTGATAGTTTGTCTCTCTGTGTTTTCCTTTAGTCTTGTAATTCATGATCAACTTATTTGCAATCTGTAAATGTCCAATTTTTCGATCAGTGGAAATCTGCTTTTTCAACATGTTGCCATTGAGAGATACATGCATATGGCGTATTCAAGTTAATACTTCACAAAAAATTGCCTCTCAAAATTGTTTCTTATATGTTAATTTCAGGCTATGATTTTGTTCCGTTTCATTGATGGAAAGGATATATTTGAAGCATTTTATACTAAAGAATTAGCAAAACGTCTTCTTCTCAACAAAAGTGCATCGGTTGATGCAGAGAAAGCGATGTTATCAAAACTAAAACAGGGTGAGTTCATCGTTCGCTGGATTATCAAGAATCACTTTTCTTCTGTAATTTTAGTTATTTGAAATCTGTGCACTTCTCCTATCTTTCACCATCATTCTAAGGGTTGAGAACACCGTATATGAATTCACATAAGCAATTACCTATATCTCACTACTCAGAATGCCGTCACTGATCCCAAGAATATTTGAATTTTCTTCTATTTGAAATGAATAGCAATTTGACGTAAAGTCTTTGTTAAAATATTCGCATATTCACTAACGTCTACTTCTTAACATGTCTCTATGCCTAAGGATGGCATTTAACTTGACTGGTTTAAAAGTCTGACTATTTTTTGTTGTTGGAATGAGTAGTCACCAGATAGGGAAGTATTGTGTTTCTCCTCAGCTTCTCCTAAACCTATCCCTGGCCCCTGGTAAGCCCGGAAAACGAGACGTAAGGGTAGCAACCGCACTCCGTGAAAACAACTCTATCGTTACCGAAAATTCAAAGCCTTGTGCCTTATTTTACACTTGGAATACAAGCAGTGAGCAAAGGAACGACGAAACGCTGAAATTATTCATGTCAGGGGTAGCAGGAATCTAGAAGATGAAAAAGACAGTGTAGTAATAGAACTCTTATTGGAATTAGTTTTTGGATTAAGTAGATTTTCTTAACCCCTTTAATACTCAGTTTGTTTGTTTGTTGGGTTCTCTGTTATGTCTTCTCCTATTGATGTTGTTTACAATGTTATTTAATGAAAATCACTCCAGTGTGGAGCACTGTCTCATTCATTGATATAGGCACTCAACAGCCCACCATCGTTTCATGGGTTCGAATCCCACTCCACCTACTGAGGTGTGGGCAGCCAGGTAATATTACTAACCAGCACACAATTCGTGTAGCTTATTTTCACTTTTGGCCCAAGTGATCTAGCAGATAACTCTTGGCTCTCACGAACAACCTGGTACGTCCGAGAGTAGGAAGACTTCCACCCCCCCCCCCTTTAAATGCTCTCATGTGAGGCTACATGTTCATAGCTTCCGCGAGGTAAGTCCTATTCACTGCCTTCACGCAGCGGAAATATTCCTCACAAAAGTGAAAGGTTGAATTTGAACATCTGTCGCTTACAACCGGACTGTTGAACCAGCAGGTATTCCTAGGGGAGCTGGCAAACCCTGATTCAAAACCTACTGTGAAAAAGGACTCCATAACCCGAAAGAATCGAATGGCATATGGACCTGTTTCGGTCATCATCAACCATGGGAACGCTGCTCCATTGCTTTATGGATCAGACTTCAAGTCAAAGGTTGGCAGGATCGTCCCTTAAGACAACCAGGCGTTTTAGTCTAGGCATCCGAGCAGTATCGTAGCCCTTGCACGAACTATGAGATTTTGTTTGGCACATCTCTTGGTGCTCATAATGTACCAAGTTTGTGTTTTAATAGTAATGACATTAATAAGAGGCATCTACATGGAAATGGAGGTGGTTTCTGAAAATTACTCCGTTTTGATTTTCTGTATAACTAGAGATGATACGCTTTGTGCTGAGCTTCTCTCTCCAACGTTGTTGACATCACCAGCACTAACTTCATTCTGAGTTACAAATCTTTCCTGTTACTCCTTTACACCAGTGCAGGTACGACAAAAAACTGAAGTCACTAAAATAATGGTCACTATGAAATATTCTATTGCGTTTATGGTTTTTTCTGACCGATCAACACAGTATTTTTACTGTTTATCAAATGACACTTAGATATGCTGATTGGGTAACATTTTAAGAATTGAAAATGATACAATCTCTCTTTTGTTTATCACATTGGAAGAACTGTTAAGTCTTTACTTCCTTTTTTCTTATCCACCACTATTATTATCGTTTTTCGTATCAGACTGCTTATCAATGTGATGTATTCCCGCGTTTACTATAAGTGAATTTACTACATTTTATTGAGACGGATGTTCAGTTTTATTACAGTTGAATATAACAGCAAATTCCACACTGCCTAGTTGTTATTGTAATTTGAAAAATCAATTGACTGGACAGGAGTTTTGTCACGAGTCGACACTAAGAAACAAGGAGCACTGCGCACTCATTTCATGCTAGTTTAGGACTCGTCAGTAGTTTTCAACCCAATGGTCATCAGCTTTTTGCAGCCTTCAAGTCGTTACTCAGCCGTTTAGTTGTACTTTACTGACATATATTCGAATCTCTGTCATTGAATGATATAAGTACCTTTCAGTCCCATTAATTAGTGACTGATATTAAACCAGACTCCTCTTAATTCTCTGTTTACGACTCCCCTAAGTTGTTTCAAGAAATCCAATTTGAGGCAAGTCAGTTGTGATAAAAGTACTATCTGGTGGCTTTTGTAATAAATCACTCATCATTTAATAGACTAGTCGGTCATTTGATCGTGCATCGTATCGTAGAATGACAATTCTTATGAATTGCGTACCATTACATGACAATTTTTCACTGATTCATCCCTCATGAAGAAATTAATCCGATTGTTTGCTTTTGTTTGAATGAACAATTCATAGTAGGTTTTGCTGTTCTGCCGGTAAACTACGTTTTCACTCAACATATTTTTTTCTCAAGTTGCCTATTCACTTTGCCCTTGTAATATTTCAGAATGCGGGCCGAATTATACACGCAAAATGGAAATTATGTTCCAAGATATTGAATTAAGTAGACAGTTGAGCAAAAATTTCCGTTTTTCACTGCCTGACAGTTATGCGATTGAATTGAGTGTGAACGTCATCTGCCCAGCATCATGGCCACCGTATCCACAAACAACAGCCAATTATCCTCCTGAAGTGAGTTTTATACTTGAAGATGGTGTTTTTTACTTATATTAACTTGGGAAGTCAAGTGAATATTTCATATCCATATTCTCCGTAGTGAACTATGAATCGTTGGCTCAAGCACCCACTCAGCTTTCAGTCACTGAGCTGTGAGTTCAAATCCTGTTCCACACCCGTCATTCTGGACAACCATTCACAATAAGTGTACCTCATACCCTAGTACACGAAAAACCTATTCTATGTAACTCATCTCTAACTAACTCCTTGATGGGGTTGAATAAGTAGAAGTAAATTAAAACAAGCCAGAAAACTAAAACATATTTCATTGAGTTTTAGTCAAGACATATATTAAAGCAGTATCACGTTCAGCTGAATTTAGTCATATTTTACTGCATTGAAAAGTATTCACTTAATAGCAGATGGTATGGCATTGTAGTAGAGAATATAATAATGTAGATGGAAGTAGAATAAAAGGCTAGGAAATTATACTGTTCAACTTCACTAGGTGGTACTTGAAAAAATACCAACAAAACAAAACTGTCAACTACCAAAGTTTCCGCAACTTTCCAGTTAGTTCACCCACCCGCCTAATTAATGGACAATACACACTGAGTTGAGTAGAAAGTATGTTCAGATAGATGATGCAAAGTGATATCAGAAACTGAGGTTTCATAACGTTGTAATTGTTTGTCAGCTTAACTATATAGCGTTATTAGCAGAAAGTAAACCGTAACTGGTCCATTTCGGGACTAGCTGCTCATCCGGTATACATTAGTGTCATTTTCATGTTAAAACTAGTTTTTATCTCAAACAGTTTCCTTTTCATTTAGTAGATGATGTAACAAAGTAATTGAATTGGTTCTGTTGTACGCCTAATCTGTCTATCTTTTAAATATTTGTAGATGGTATCGCTTCGAGAAGAATTTACTCGCTTCTATTTATCGCATCACCAAGGTCGAAAATTGATCTATGAGCCATCATTAGGAATGTGTGTTGTAAAAGCGAAATTCCCAACAGTAAGTTGGTTAAGTTATAAATGGTATTTTCAGTATCTGCACTCCATTGAGCAGCAATCGCTTTTCTTCTGCTTATTTTAATGTTCACGTTAAATGCAATAACTGATGTTATTGGTTTGAGTAATTTCACCTTCTAATTTTATAATTACCATACTTGTTAACAACAACATCTATAAAAATATCTTAAGTTATTGTATGTGTTTGAAATTAGTTACACCGAACAGGACTTCCATATAGAAGTCTGTCAGCCCCAACTTACGTAGGTGGATCGGGATTCGAACCTGTCACCTGTGTCTAAATGCCTAGTTCCTAAGCCATCGAATTACGTTTCCTTAAACATTGTATGCCCTAACAGGTGGCTGGTAAGTGAAATTTGGTTGCTGAATAGTTATCATGAAATCTGTCATTCGCTGCGTCACTGATAGCTGTTGTAAGTCAATGGTATTAATGTATGATCTCCCGGTGTTTCATGACCAACTTTATTCAGTAAATGGTTGACTAGATAACATGCATGTTGTGTTGTTCATCAGTAACCAATAAACGCAATAAGAATCATTCTGATTCTGACCAACTGACTTACTGTTTTCAACATACAACTTTGTACCGATATGCAACAGTTCAAGTCGCCACACTCCATGTAGCACACAAAACCAGAGAAGAAAGTAAGAAGAAACGCAAAATGCAGACAGTAAACAGAGATTTCAGGCAAAAAGAATAGTAATAACAAAGAACAATATAGTTTTATTGGAAATTATAAGTCACAAGGAGTGGATGCATCTGCGCCAGCCATTGAGAACGATTTTGAGCCATATCACCGATTGTCTCCAGCCATTGGTTTTTACCATCCCGAGAACCGCAACCAGGAAGTCTACACCTTCCTACGTGGCTTAAACTAACTGTTGTAGATTTCATTGACTGGTGCCATGTTTTGGTTTGATCACCGGAGCTGTTTTCCAGCCTGACCCTATGTCAGCTAACATTGCCCGTCTAGGAAGGTAATGGCTAGGCATACGTAACACATGTCCTAACCATCTCAATCGATGTAATTTCACAGCCTCGTCGATTGATTTCCCCTCCTTACCTAGCACTCGATACCTAACCTCAACCACTTCAAACGGGAAATGGAACGCAGACACGTATGATCAAAGACAGCTAGCCTTTTCATGTCTTCAACTCTCAATGGCCAGGTCTCACAGCCATAAAGGAGGACGGAGCGGACTGTTAAGCAGTACACATGCCCTTTAGTCTATAGCCGGATATCACGTCTACACCAGAGATGGCGTAAACTGGTAAATGCGAAATAAACCTTCTGTATCCGTCCTGAGATTTCGTCAGCGATCAACCCGTTGGGGCTCAGTAATTTACACTCAAATTGTGAAAACTCAACGCTATATCATCTTTTTGGCTGCAATAATAGTATGGGTTCATTTTGTTGACAGCTGCCAAACTGTACAAAAACAATAGACATTCAGCAAATAGTCTGTTATCTAAGCAAAACGGAGAGGCTCTAAGGGAACTTAAAGTAATGAAAGCTTAATTATTAGCAAATCTGATAAAGGCGACGGTATAGTCTCACTAGACAAAAGTGATTACGTTGAAAAAATGGAAGGTATTTTGATTGATCAAACTAAATTCCAATACTTTGGTAATGCCAAAGACCTCAATGTAAAAGCGGAAGAATTAATGACAGATTCTCTCAAAAAACTGAATCAAAAAAGAGTATTATCTGCCACGTATGAAGCCAGCGGGTACCAACACTTCACGTCTTTAGAGTCTACCTAAAGTGCGCAAACCGAGTCTTCCTCTTTGCCCAGTTTTAGATATGTATGTATGACTCTCCATTTCACGGAAGTGAAGATTCTGGGACCTATGTGCAAAGAAATTGTGCGACATAGAATGAGTGATGTCTTCGGCTTCATTTATAAAATATCCGAGACCAATGTTAGTGATGAACGTATGTTATCCATGGATGTATCATCACTATTTACGAATGTACCACTTGTTGAAACGGTAGATTACATTTGCCGAGAAATCACCGAAAGGAAAATGGACTTAGGAATTCCATTGTGTAGCCTCAAAGAATTACTCCTTAAATGCACAGTGCATGTGCACTTTGTCTTCAATAATTCATATTACCGACAAACAGATGAAATAGCTATGTGTTCACCATTAGGCTCAATCTTAGCTAACTTCTTCCTCACAAAACTTGAAAACGGAAGATTGAAAGTGTTATATCTGCACTGAACTGAATAAACCCTGTCGCCACTTTGTTATGACTGCGCTGCTATCGGTAATGAATTCGACTGGTACATCTATGTCATTGTACCGTCCGATTCACTGAGCCACGCAGATATCAGAAGACAAAGGATGGCCTGTGACTGTAAGATACTGTATATTTTAGGAACAACACATTTAAACATTTTATTTAGCACAGTGCAGTCGGCTCAGAGCCGTAAAAATGGATTGTTCTTATTGGCTCGCAATGTCTGTTCCCATTGGTTGGCAATCCGACAAAGACCAGGTGAGACAAACATGATAAATTGGTCATACACTAAATCACAATATGCATGAGAAATGATAGATCAACATAGCAACTTCATCACAAGATAATCACACAATTCTTGAGAAAGGATGATATACTATTTTATGCTGGTTCCTATCAGGAAGACATCATCAAGAGAGTTGGATATATATTACTCGGTATTTCTATGATGCATTTATCTTAATTGATGGGATTGCAAACATAGACGAATTATTGATGAAATTCAGTAACATCCACCGTTCGCTTACTTGTCAAGAGGAGTAGGATAATAAATTACCTTTTCTGGACGACCTACTAAGTAGGCGAGAAAATGGGTCACTTGGGTGAAGCGTGTATAGAAAAAGCAAATTCACGGGGCAATACACACACTACCTTAGTTACGTGTCCATTAAATATAAAAGAAATATTGTTAAGTGTCTTACTAGCAGAGCAAGAAAGATATGTACTGATGACCACTTACAAAAAGAATTTGAATACATTCATGATTCCTTGACGGAATTGGGCGATCCAATTAGTTTCATAAAGAAGCATATGGAAACATTAAATAGAAATGACTATGACTTCATGGAAGAAACTGTTATCTGTTAAGTTACAATTTGAAGAGGACTTATCAAGCGAGATTTTGTTTCGGAGACTAGCTAAAAGTATGCAAAGAACGTTTTACACAGCAAACCTATATTTGTCATTCTCTAGCTGACAGATGATTGGGAATCAAACGAAGTATAGGCTAGACGATTCCATATGAGTTTGTTTATTAGATATATCACACAGTGAAACAGTATTATTTACTGGATGACGTTTCGAACAAAATTTATTGTTCATAATCATGTCAATTGTAATCACACGACTTCGAAACTTGAGTTTTATAGTTTTCTTTGTCTTCTATTTGTTGTAGGGGTAGTATAATTTTCCAGATATCGGGGACAGGTGATGAATCATTCCTATTACATGTATTTGCAGTTGATTCGATAGTGTTTGTATCGAATCAACTGCAAATACATTGTAGATAGGGAATGATTCATCACCTGTCCCCGATATCTGGAAAATTATACTACCCTCAGACAACATATGAAGACAAAGAAAAACTATAAACTCAAGTTTCGAAGTCGTGTGATTACAATTGACATGATTATGAACAATAAATTTTATCTCGAAACGTCATCCAGTAAATAATACTGTTTTCACTGTGTGATATATCTAATAAACAAACTAATATGGAATTACTTACCACCACAGTGCCCAAGTTTTACACATATATTAATACAGGCTAGATAGTTTTGCGACATCTATTTGTATTTATCGATTCAACTGCTCCTGTGGAGACAGTTATGTTGGGTGTTCTACTAGACACCTCCCATCGTGGTTTGGCAAAGGACAGACGAAAACAATCCGTAGCTCACTTTTGTCACATTTAGTTAGTAGTGGAGAAAATGAGAGCTTTCAAAGTAATTAATATCAGTCATTTATCTGGAATTACTACTACTGCTACTAAGATTACGAACTTCCAAACGAAATTTTGTATTTCACTATATTCATATGTGATATTCATACGCGACTGGATTCAAGGTAGAACTTTGCACAGATGTGCATTAGTTTGAGTTGCCACACTCCATGTAGCACAAAAAGCAAGAGAAGAGAGTAGAGAGAGATTCACAAAATGGATAATAAACAGAAATATGAGGCAAAAGGAATAATAATATCGAAGAACAAAATAATCTTATTGAATATGATAAATCGCGAAGAGTGGATGCATCCACACTATTAAGAATGATTTTGATCCATACTACCGATTGTCTCCAGCCATTGGGTTTTTACCATCCCGAGAACCGCAACCAGGAAGTCTACACCTCCCTACGTGGCTCGCTTAAACTAACTGTTGTGGATTTCATACGTGAATAGAATCTCTTTGATTGTGGAATAGTAATTAACTGTTCGAATCGACCTCACTTAACTAACAAATCCTGACACTAAGTGGATTCAGTTCGGAAGTAATCATACTTGATGAAATAGTTTATTTACTTATTATACATGATATTGTAGAAGGAAATTCCTTTGTCATTTGTATGTAGTCATATATTAAAGTAGATTCTGACATCTTTCTTAAAATTATTCAAATATTGCATATTGCAGCAGCAAATATTGCATTAAAACTCAGTATAAGCTCTTACCGCCAAGTTCTCAGGATTCGATCATATTCGATTGAGTAAACTGGGTTTTCTTAAACTTTTAATGTGAAAAATTTAGTTTTTACAATTCTTTCAACAATTTCTGACATTGGTCCTTTTCAGTCATATAAGACTTTCGCGCATACTGTTCTATTGCTTGATGCAAAAATTTCACCTTTCGTAGTATTCAACTCTATTGAAATGTATATTTTTATTTCATTTTGGTACATTTTGTTTTACTAGACGCCTAACCTCCGCAAAGAATTACAAGTGTCTGAATTTCAAGCCTTAGTATTGCTACAATTCAACCAGTCTGATAACGTACCGATCACTTATGCTACGATAGCTGAAAATACAGGTATTGAAGAAAAGGAATTGAAACGAACTCTGCTGTCATTAGCTGCTGGAAAGGGACAACGTGTATTATTGAAAAATCCAGCCGTGAGTGAGATTTTTTATATTTTTTATTTGTATTACTTGCTATCATTATTGTGTTTTCTACTTCACGTCTCCACAATACGTTTAGGTTCATGCATGAATGCATCAAAAGCCATTCGAAGTTTTATTAATAAAGAATAATAGTTTTTCAAGTATTGGTTTTGTAGGGATTTTCTTTGATTGCATTGGGGATTTCATCATGAGCTGACATCAGTTAGAGAACCACTGGAAAACCTGGGAGTACTGGACAGCTGTTTCTTCCTAGTTTGGGACTCTTCAGCAGTACGCACCCACCGGGATTCGAAACCAGGACCTTCTGGTTACAAGGCGAGCTCGTAGACCATTGAGCCACTGGGACCTGATCATCGAAGAAGACATTGCGAAATGGTCGCGCCATGTCGTGAATTGGCAAAAGTTAGAATTCAAGGACCATTCGATAGGGTCCCAGTGGCTCAATGGTATACGAGCTCGCCTTGTAACCAGAAGGTCCTGGGTTCGAATCCCGATGGGTGCGTGCTGATGAAGAGTCCCGAACTAGGAAGAAACAGCTGTCCAGTACTCCCAGGATTTCCAGTGGTTCTTTAACTGATGTCAGCTCATGATGAAACCCTCCATGCAATAATAGTTTTTGTTTTCTTAAGCTATTCTTGTACTAAGCTTAATTTATGAGAGCTTGTAATTATGTCCACTCTCTTAAGCTGAAGCAGATGTAGTGACGTTTAAATCTAGATCTTAGATGGTTGGAGGCAATTGTCAATCGACACATTGCACTAGTTACTAACTAGTGTCTAATCAAAGTAAATATAGACCTCTTCGTCTCTAGTCAAGTTCTATCATATATAAACCGCATCTCCACTAGGGACACCTAAAGTTTTCTTCACATTTCTTATCGTCGCGTATTCCCACTACGCATAACTTCTGCATGTAATCTTATTTCCAATCTTGACATTTAGCCTAGTTGTGGCATTGGTTATCGGTATGATGGTCTACTAATCCAATTTTACCTCCTTCTTGCTTATGATGAGTAACACAAATTGTCTTATGACCTGCTGATTCCTCTTGTGTAAACATCCACCATCTACGGCTAACCACTTGTAGTTGTTATTCTTTTCTCCATTTGTAGGTAAACATAACTCGGATCTGGCATTTAATTTTGGCACATGAATACAAAGTTGTATGACAAGTCACCTGTGCTTTAATTATAACCAAGCTTAAACTCTATGTTATCAAAAGTAACTGTGAGAAAGGAGAAAGCTCTAGGCAACTTAAATCTCATAAGCATGGCCTGGAAACCTATAATCATGTCAGGTTTTGTTTGTCATCATGATAGTAAAAAGGACATGAAGCTGAAGCCTTTCAACGAAAGAAGACACGTTGACTCATTGGCTTCCCCAAGACTTTCCCCAGTCCGTGTCATTTCAGCGTAGAGTAAGCTTACTTTTCGTATATTGTTTGTGGGCTTTGAAGCTTCTGTAGCGACTGCGTTGATTTTCTCGGATGGGGTCGATAGGATGTTCCCCAACTTTCTCTCCATTTCCAGATTTAGGAGGGGGCTAGTGGACTACTGAACTAGACGATGTTATTAAGATACATTGCTGTACTGGATTCTGTTTCTGTCTTAAACTGGATGACTAAATACTAATTCCATCAATAATACTATATAGTCATTTTTCTATCTCTAGAAAATATTCGATCTCTTATATTACATCGTTAAGAAGAAAATAATTTCATCGTCTAGTTACTACGCGATAAGAATTTCATATCAATATACGCTTTGCATTACTAATTTCTCTTTTTTCCATTCCAGAATTTGGAAATTGAAAATGACCATGAATTTATCTTCAATACTGAGTTTTGTCATCGCCTGACACGAATTAAATTCAATCAGATACAATTAAAAGAAACTGTAAGTATCATATGTTTTGTTTGTTGTTACTGTTCTCCTTTCAACGTTAATTGTTCTACTTTACCTAAGATATGTGTAATATCTATCATAATTAAATAGAGGCAACTCTACAGTTATACTATTCACCAGAAATGGTTCGACTTTTCTTCTGTGTTTTATCCTGGACAGTATGTTTTTGCTTTGGTTTTGGTCATGAAAATAGCTGTGGTTCAGTGGTAGGAAGATTGTCAACAACTCGCGTGGTCTGCGTTCGATTCCCGACCAACTCAGTCCTAAACCTCATTTAGTTTACCAACCAATAGAAAGCCTGGAAGACTGTGCGTGATGCTTGCAGCCCCACCACGTAAAATGTACCACTGCTACTGAAACTTCAAGGTTCAAGCTTAACACCTTATGCTTCCCTCAGAATTCCAAAGAATAAAAAAATAGCTCTACATATAATCAGGTAAACAGATTATCCTTGTCAAAGGGGAGGTAATTGTTGAATTTGCTATCAGTTTTGGGGGTACAAGACAAGAAAACGGCAGAATATACCTATTTCGGTCGGTCGGTTTTCGACATAGAACTTTGCACATATGTGCGGCAGTTCAAGTCGCCACACTCCATGTAGCACACAAAGCAAGAGAAGAAAGTAGGAGAAATGCATAATAATATAGACAGTAAACAGAGGTGTGAGACAAAGGAATAGGAATAACGAAGAACAAAACAGTTTAATTGAAAATCATAAGTCACAAGGAGTGGATGCATCTGCGCCAGCCATTGAGAACGATTTTGAGCCATATCACCGATTGTCTCCAACCATTGGTTTTTACCGTCTCGAGGACCCCAACCAGGAAGTCTACATCTTCCTACGTGGCTTAGACTAACTGTTGTGGATTTCATTGACTGGTGCCATGTTTTCGTTTGACCGCCGCTAGCTCTTTTCCAGCCTGGCCGTATATCAGCTAACATTGCCCGTCGAGGAAGGCGATGACTAGGCATACGTAACACATGTCCCAACCATCTCAGTCGATGTAATTTCACAGCCTCGTCGATTGATTTCCCCGCCTTACCTAGCACTCGACCGATGCCTAACCTCAATATTGCTCACCTTATCATACCACTTCACTCGGGAGATAGAACGCAGGCACCTATGATCGAAGACAGCTAATCTTTTCATGTCTTCTGCTCTCAATGGCCAGGTCTCACTGCCATAAAGGAGGACGGAGCGGACTGTTGAGCAGTACACACGCCTTTTGGTCGATAGTCGGATATCGCGTCTACGCCAGAGACGGCGTAAACTGGCATATGCGAAACTAGCCCTCTGTATTCGTGCTGAGATTTCGTCGGAGATCAACCCGTTGGGGCTGATGGTACTTCCCAAGTAAGTGAAGCGGTCAACGTGCTCTACCACTTCACTTCCTATTTGTAATCTAGGAGTCGGTGTAGTCCAATCCTGCAACATTATCTTACATTTTACAGGAGCGAATCGCATGCCAAACATACGAAGATTGTTGCTCAAGGTGTTCAGTAGACTCTGCATTTTGTCAGCGTCCTCGCCTAGAAGGACTAAATCGTCTCGCATATTCTAAGTCGACGAGATTATTCCCTGGTAGCAAGTCTATCCCTGAGTCGCTGAAGTGTGTTAGGGTTAAGTCCATTAGTACGTCTATGATGAAGTTGAATAGGAATGGGGATAATGGGCATCCTTGACGGACGCCACTAGTCGTCGCCACTTCGGATGACAACTCGCCATAAGCCCTCACCTGGCTGCATGAGTACGAGTAGAGTGCCTTAATCAGTGCAATGTATTTTCTTGGCATTCCCTTTACAGCTAAGCATCGCCAGAGAACCTCTCGGTCGACAGAATCGAATGCCGCCTTTAGGTCAAGAAATATAATGATTGTCGGACGCCGGTAGGAATGCCTATGTTCTAGAATCTGTCGAAGGGTGAAGATATGATCACTACACCCTCTTCCTGGCCTAAAACCTGCCTGGTTTTCTCGTGTTTGTGTCTCCCGAGCACCACTTAGTCTACGCAGTATTATTGAGCCTAGGATTTTAGATACTATGTTAGTCAAGCCAATCCCTCTGTGATTATCACAAGAAGACTTGTCTCCCTTCTTGTATATCGGGATGATCAGTGACTTACACCAACCCGATGGGACTTCCTCTGATTGCCAGACGCTGTGTAGAACCTCAGTTAATGCAGACAGTAAACTGTCTCCACCGTACCTAAATACCTCTGGAGTCATTCCATCAGGTCCCGCTGCTTTGCCTTGTTTCAGGTTAGTGACAGCTTCAGTAACCTCAGTTAAGGACGGAGGACCTGTGTCTGTATCCCATTCAGGGAGGTGTTGGATGTCCGGCAGGTTAAGTGTGGCTGTGGGCCAATTAAACTGCTCCTCGTAGTGTTCTTTCCAGCGCTCCAGACGTCTATCCTGGGAGCTAATTATGGTGCCATTTTTCTCCGATATTGTTTCGCTTATCATTTGCCTCTTGCCACCTGTTTCCCTGATAAGCCTGAATAGCTGTCTGGTGTTGCCTATCGCCGATGCTTTTTCCATCTCTTTCGCCTTTGTCAACCACCACTGTTCACGGTCCTTGCGGAGACTTTTCGTAAGTTTCTTTTTGTGCAGCTTTCGCTCCTCATTGAATTCGGAGCTCGCATCTATCGGTTCGGATGAGGCAGTCAAAATCCAATGGTTTTTACTCACCTTTGGATTTACCTTATTCACACCTTTTACAGCTGTATCTATGGCTGACTGAATATTCTTCCAGGCTTCTTCAGGGTCAGTGCAGCTCTCGAACTCAGATATGTGTTTAGCTAGTTCTTCCTCAAATAGGGACTTAGTTTCCTGATCGAGCTGGGGACGTGATGGGTTTACCGCCAGCTGTTTCCTACGTCCGTTCAGTCGTAAACATACACGAGCGCGGACCAGTGCGTGATCGGTATTTACACACGTGTTCCAGAAGGAGCGGCAATCTCCTACCGACCCACGCCAACGATAGCTTATTGCTATGTGGTCTATTTGTGTCCAGCGTTGGTTTGATGATGGGGGTCGCCAGGTCAAACAGTGTCTCTCCTTGTGTTTGAAGTTAGTGCTTACAAGAAACAAATGATTATCTGAACAGAACTGTAGGAGATGGTCACCGTTGTCGGTTCGCTGGCACGGAATTCCGTATGTGCCACCGACATTTTTCTCAGATTGACACAATTTCCCTACTTGAGCATTAAAGTCACCAGCTAAAACGACTATATCTGAGCGTTTAGCCTTTCGCAGCAAACTAGACAGCTTTTGGTAGAACTCATCCTTCGTTTCATCCGAACTGCAGTCAGTGGGAGCGTAGGCGGAGATTACGAAAAGGCATCGGCGAGTAGTGCAGTCCTTTCTCCTTTTCACTGATCCGTTCAGACGGACAGCACACATTCGGGTATCTACCGGGATCCAATCAAGTAATGTCTTTTCTGCCCTAGTACTCCAAGCTATCCCAACACCAGCTAATCCTCGTGATCTAGCCGTCGCATCTCCTAACACCCTCAAGGTGAATTTTGCAGATTCATCCTGTTGGCCAGGTGGAGTTAGGTGAATAACCACACTTGGGTCTTGTATGCGTGTTTCTGAAACACAACATACATCAATGGCTCGGGATGTCACAGTCTTGGCTAGTGATGCTTGTTGTCCTATTTGGCAAAGTGTCCTAACATTAAATGCTCCTATATGAAATTGGTGGCGCGGCTTTAGGAGACTATCGATGGTGGCTTTTTGGCTTCCATCGTTATCAGTGCACACAGAGTGAAGAGGAAGTGAAGAGCCATCAAGTAGAGGAGTTGCATTGGTAGAAGGAAGGCAAGATAATAGAGATGAAGATGGATACAAAGATGAGTGAGGATTAGAGAGGTTTCGCGTGCACTTCGGATTGTGAGGGCGATTGTTACTTCCCGGCTGCCCACACCGTGGAAGTTGGTTGCGTGACCGCAGAGCCCAGGGGACAACTGCTTGAGGCCGGTCACACACGGCCTGTTTTTGTTTGTTCTTTTTTATTTGGTGTGTCTCAGTAGCGTATTTATCACTTCTGCCCTGTGACACGGCAGCAGGAAGCGCGGTCGTTGTTAATCCGGGCCCCGACCGATCCGGCATGATATTTTGTGATTTTGTTTGAGTCATGGCATTGGATTGGGTAGCTGCTTTTTGTCTAACCGCTATCCAAACAACCTTTCTGGCATGGTAGGACCTACAGGAACTTAAGTTCCAGCCAGTGTAGCTCGTTGGGTCATTGCGATATGCAAGCCCGACCACCACGTCAAGGTAGCAGCTTTCGGTCGGGAATATACCTATTTAGATCATGAGAAGAAAAAAAGAAGGTAGTAGTGGGAATAAATTTCTCTTAAGTCATCAATAAAAAAATACATAAGATAGCGGTGAGAAAGTTTCAGAACTATTTCCTGTCAGGGGTCAAAGTGTGGAAAATCACCAGAGGATTGAAATAAAAAGCAAAGAAAATAATTAAATGGGAAGTTCGGATAGAAAACATTTAAATAATGATGATTTTCTTGAGAAAATTGACCACTTATAGTAAGCACAAAAGTTCAACGTTATCTTTTTCGGTTACGTAGCATTGCCTTAAATATTTTGATTGCTAATGCTTGAACTGTACCCAAATGTCTTAACCTTACTTCCTGTTATGGACCTGTCGCCAATTTGTTATGATCTGAATCGCCATATGAAATGACCTAGTGGACTAATGCGTGAGTATAGTAACACTGATAGGCTAGATACGCCTATTCGTCACTAGTACCTTCCAGTTCACTGAGCCACGTAAATATCAAAAGACAGAATGATCTGTGACTGTTTGAGTACAACGTTTTTAGGAAGAAAGGACGTCATATTTATACATTATTAACCACATTAAAATCTGTGTAGAGTAATGAAAAATAAATTGTTCTTATATGTAGGCGATTTGGCTAGTTGCAGTGAAAGTAAGTATTCTGATTGGTTGACGACTGGACCAGGACCAAGGTAAGAGGAAGATAATGAAATTTCGCAGTCAGTCAAGGTCATCCGATCACAAATCGATTACTTTTTCAGGCCAGTTCCTATCACTTCCTTTGACAGGTTTGATTGGATTTCGTAATTGGAGCCGCGTTTTGAGTTCACAAGCTGTTCATCTACTAAACCAAAGACACACTTCTATTCTCCCATTGCTAGTCAAACTCAGTAGTCCACATTAGCGCTTTTTACAAGCGAATGCGTAATACAAGGAATGTACTCAACTCAGTGGAAAAAAGTGAACTGATACACGCGTGTTAATGACATCTAATGCCACCATTTGTCATTCACATGCTAATCAAATAGTTTTTGTAACAAAATGTTACTTAGAGACTGGTGACGAAGTATGTTTTACTGAACGATTTCGGGTCATTTTCAGGAGACTTTTAAAGACACTCATAACCCATAATCTATTCTATAGAGCAGTACAGACATGTTTAGTTTTAATTTACAAATACATTTGGTTCCCGAACACTGTTCACTTCCTGTAATTTATCCTCACAATTCAAGTCAGATGAATGATAACTATTCTATTAAAGACGTATTGTATTGAAGCTTTGAATATTCGGATTATAGAAACTTCAGATAATATGCATCATGAAAGTGCTTTTACAGTGCTGTCTGTTCAGTTTAAACTGAACACGATTAATTATTTGGGTCGTATGAGGAGCCACAACTCCCTTGTTTAAGATCCACTTGAATATTGGGGCCTACACTTCAGCTTAAATGCACATTGTCTTATGGCAATTGTAAAACTGTTGCTATTCTATAGCTTACTGTCTGCTGTCAAAATCTAAACATTTCATAACATTCATGTTGAAGGTACTAGGATGCGTCAACTATTCAACCAGGGTAAACCGTTGGCCATGGCCGTACTGTTTATACCTTTTCACCTCATACATGTTAGTTTTGACACCAATCCTAGTTGTAATGGCTTCGATTATAACGTTCACCATGATAACGTGAAAATCAGCATAGATTGTTCACCTATCATTTTAACTCGGTTAAGCAATCTTTTTTCTATAGCATAGGTATTATTATAATGTATATTATAATGTTCATTTCATAAGTGTTATGCTGCTCATTCTGATTACTATGAAATAGTTTGGTTTAAATGCCTTTAAAGCATAATTTAACTAGTATTCATCAGAATATTTTTCCATTAGCTACAGTTCAGGCGAAGCACTACATGCTGTAAATTATACACTGCCAATTTGGTTTTTTATATATGTATTTAAAAAAAGAGTATAATCTATTATTCTGAAATAATAGAGAAGATTTGTAGCTCAGGTGGATGATTTGCAATTAAAAGTGTTCTCTGAGCTGGTTGGTTTAGTTGCGAAGCTTTCGTCGTCCTTCTGGACAACATCTTCAGCGCCATATTTAGCACAAAGTGAAATGATTTAAATTTCTTCATGCGCGATGTAATCGCGTCTCCTGGTTACTATCTTCGTAAAGATATGTATTGACCACTTTCTATTGACTTGGATTTTAAACTTTGTCTGCACACTCACAAACGAAACTGTGTGCAGACATTGTTTAAAAGAGTTCAGACACATTGTAGCACTCCAGAGTTGAAAAGAATGGAAGAAAAGTACCTACAAACGGTCTTCAAAATGAATGGTTATCCACAAAATTTCATCAAAAAGTGTTTAAAGTCGAATCAAAACACCAACAAGAAACCATCATCTAAGACCACAAGAAAATTCATTCTACCATACATGAGGAATATCTCTGAAATAACAGCCAGAATACTGAAACCGTTAGATATAGATATAGCACACAAACCAGTAAAATCGCCTAATTCGATATTATGCAAACCAAAAGATCCAACAGAAAAAGGGGATAAAATTAATACCATCTACAAAATAAATTGTATGAACTGTAACAAGCATTACATCGGCCAAAGTGGGCGTCCCCTTCCAATCAGAATCCAAGAACATAAATCAGCCGTGAAAAGACATGATATGTATTCTTTAGTATCAATGCATGCAGACTATTATGGTCATCAGTTTGATTGGGATCATGTCAAAATCTTAAACAGAGGAAACACGAAAAGTGCCAGAGAATTCCTAGAAGCCTGGTACTCAAGCGAAAATGCGACTAACAAACACGTTAATATACATGAAATATACCAATTAATAAAAAGTAAATCAGGTGACCAAAAAGTTTAAAATCCAAGTCAGTAGAAAGTGGTCAATACATATCTTTACGAAGATAGTAACCAGGAGACACAATTACATCGCGCATGAAGAAATTTAGATCATTTCACTTTGTGCTAAATATGGCGCTGAAGATGTTGTCCAGAAGGACGACGAAAGCTTCGCAACTAAACCAACCAGCTCAGAGAACACTTTTAATTGCAATCTATTATTCTTTCGTACACAAGCATATATATGTATATATATTACAGGAACAAGAACAAACGGCTACTGAAGAACGAGTATTTGCTGATCGTGTTGCCCATGTGGATTGTTGTATTGTACGCATTATGAAAACACGTAAAACTATTGATCACAATTCATTGTTATCAGAGGTCTACAAACAATTACAATTTCCGCTTAAAGTAAGTTAACTCAGTTTATTTTAAAGCATGAAATGAAACCTTTAAATGTATATTAGACCAATAGATTACAAACGATTTAATTTTGCTGACCGATTATTATTTCCAAGTGTGGATCAAGCGAATTAACTAGGAGTTTATTCGTTACATATCTGTTTATCTTCATTGGCAATCTCACAATCGGTAACTGCTAAGTTGCTTCTCAGTTTTGTTTTCAATTTAGATGTCAGTTAGGGAACCACTGAAAATTTGGGAATACTGGATAGTTGTTTCGTTCCATCTTGGAAACCTTTGGTAATAAGCACCCATCATCCACTAGGTATCAAAGTTATTCTGTGAAGGATTTCAGCAACAATTCATGTTTATTAAATGTCCGTTTAGGAAGTTTTCCCTGCTTCGGCATGATTTGCCATTTGTGTTGCATATCTGGTATGGATTTGAGCGTTGCAGAGAAAGTAAAGGAACATAGGATAATACCGAAATAAAGAAGGGAAGCAATATCGTAGAAAATAGAATGATTGGTGCTAACTAATCTGTTATCTTAAATGGACTAGACAGAACTGAACTCATTAAAGTACATTGACTTACTTGAATGATCTATTAAACCAGATTTTAGTGACTATACCTATTATGTCACATTATTTCTCGAGCGCTGGTTTGCAAGCGTTATGACTGCGTATTGCTGAGGAGTTCCAAGCAAGAACGAAATAGCTGTTCAGTACTTCGTGGTTCTCAGTGGTTTTGGAACTGAAGTCAATGCGTAGTCAAAACTGAAATATATCGTATTAATGATCACAACCTTATTTTAATGTTATTACCCAGTTTTTCTCATCCATTTGTCTTTTATTTTACGTTTATAGGCAAGTGATGTGAAGAAACGTATTGAAAATTTAATTGACCGTGATTATATGAAAAGAGATGCTAGTAATGCTGCCACGTATCATTATGTCTCCTAGTTGATGAAATAGGTTTGTCTACTCCAAAACTTTCATCTTCCTAAGTTTACCTTCTTTTAATTATTTTCCCCCAATAGAGACACCGCATATGTGTATATGTGAAGGAAGAAGTCTAATGACAGGAAATCACACTTATACACTTTTTCTCATTTCAAGTTATTAGTTAACTTCATTTCTCTTACATTAACTAACTAACATAAGTTGATGTATTTCGAAATGAATAAAAAATTACTGTTCCTTTTGTGTGTTCTTGTTATGTACAGCAGATTTTATCAAATTAACTTACACTTTGTTTTTTTGTTTTTTTATCATGCAAATCTTTCATATTCATGTCATTACTATTTTTTTTCTTGAAAAAAGAAAGTAAGATGAGTTCGCTTGCCTGTTCGACGATGTTTTGTATGGTAGATAACTGTACTGCCTAAATTTGAATTTTTATGAAGTAAATTATCTGTGTGTTCAGTCATTTTATTGCTTAGGATGTTCTGTTTATCGCAAATGAAACAAGATAGAGAGTTAGACACGAACTTTTATAGAAAATCCATACATTTCAACCGATATTTGGATTTCGGCTCAGTTCACTGTATTTCATTGAAAATAGGATTAGTGCGATGTTTAAACGATAGATTAACGGCAGAAGACAAGAGACTTAGTAACGGACCTTTTATTAACGAAAAGAACATAATGTTTGTACATTTTCAGCCACATTTAAGGTCAGTGGATAATAAACTGTTCTAATTGGTTGCCGATTTACCGAAGGTTAAACCTTCTGGCTAAAAGTTGTCCAATGAGAGTATTTTCCGACCATGGCGTAAACTAAATCCAGACCTGAGGGATAAACGCTTCTACATCTACAGTCACTCACGTAAAATGTTTTCGATTTTGGCTGCTTCCTATAAGTCTGCGTCTGCATACTACTGGTAAATCTTGTCAATAGCTCCCGCCGTGATAGGGCTGCTGCTGGATTCAACATAGAACTTGGCACCGAGGTGCAGCAGTTCGAGTTGCCATGTTCCAAATAGCACACAAAGGTAGACAGGAATATGAGTGAAGAGAATCAATAGAATTTAGATAAGTATAAGAGTGAAACAGAATAAGTAATGGTAGAAAGGCATATGAAGGTTAAAGAGACTGAATACATCTGCCCCATTGACAACGATTTTGAGCCATGTTACCTATTGTCTCCAGCCATTGATTCTTAGAGTCCCGAGGACCCCAACCCGGAAGTCTGCATCTCCCTACCTGACTCAGTTTAACTGTCAGGGATTTCATGGCCGTGATAGGGCAAAAACTAAATAATGCCAAAGCAATAGGATTCAACTCCTGCCCAACTAGTTTGTTATGATACTGAATGTTTCAAAGATTTCCATATGATAATCATAATGGAATAAATTCTTCACTTGGAAATGACACAGTGAGAAATCACCACACTTTCCTATGAAAACCGAAATTAATATCTGGTCTGGTTGATACCACAAATGAGATGGCAGTCAAGAAAGTAAGCGAAATAGCATGGTACTGTATACTGCCGATTGATTGATATAATTATTTGGGGACTACTCATACAAAACAGTATTAGTTCTAGTCGTGATAAACATTCCTTGGAATTAGTAGTTTTTATCGTCCATTAGGCAATCTGATAATAAGCTAGTCTGTATAATGTAGCATACAGCTTTTAATAGGCGATTACTTAGAAATGTTTATTTTGATACATAATGCTATTAACAGAAGTTAAGGAATCTGAAATGATATAGACATCTAGTTGACGTATTATTGAGATAAGCAGGTATTGTCAGCAAGGATTAAATGTATTATGAAAATCTGGTTCATGATAGGATTTCAACCAGCAGTCTATGAATTATTAGTTCAGCCCTCTGCTAGCTGAGCTGCGAAAGTTAGCTACTAATCAGATCACCCACCAAAGACGATGTCAGATATCTTCACTATCAATAAACAATATATGTCATCTAACTTTTATGTATCACTACGACCTCATAAACTCTGCGGTTACATATTATAACCTTCCGCATCTATTTCTCCTTAAATAATCAATGAGTATCTCCTACTCTTTCTCAACACTGAGAATTGATAGAGTAGTAGTACACGAAAATTTGACAAGTGAATCAAATTTGTTTATCTTTCAACTTCTCAGTTAGTTAACGGTAGTAACTTCTGTAAAAGTAAATTTCGAGTCCAGCTGATATAGGGCCAGGCTGGAAAAGAGCCAGAGGCTGTCAAGCGAAAACATGGCACCAATCAATAAAATCTACAACAGTTAGTCTAAGCCACGTAGGAAGGTGTAGACTTCCTGGTTGGGGTCCTCGAGACGGTAAAAACCAATGGTTGGAAACAATTGGTGACATGGCTCAAAATCGTTCTCAGTGGCGCAGATGCATCCACTCCTTGTGTAGGATTATTTTTGTCCTACAGATTTAGTCCTTCCTCAATACTGACGATACAGAGTCTCGGCTTAGCTATAGTTAAAACAGAATAACTTGACTTTAACTTTATCTGTTTCTAAAACAAAATAAATCATAAAATTACACCAAGAAAAATGTACAAATCCACCGTCATTACAAAAAACAGACAAAAACGTACCGAACAGTATTGAAGGTACGGACAAAATGAACAGTCAATTAATTACATGTATATACAAGTAGAGTGACAGACAAAAAAGAACATTCAAGGTCACCATCACGTGGTGTGAGTTACATTAATTGGCCAATAATCGCGACAAAAAAGGTCACATAATATTGATTGGCTGCTTATCATACAGTCTATCTATCTATCGCGATTAACACCTTGTAACTCATGATTTACAATGGAACTTTTGTTCTTCGTTATTCCTATTCCTTTGTCTCACACCTCCGTTTACTGTCTATATTATTATGCATTTCTCCTACTTTCTTCTCTTGCTTTCTGTGATACATGGAGTGTGGCGACTTGAACTGCCCCACATATATGCAAAGTTATATGTCGAAAACCGATCCACCGAGTCCTTACTTTGTGCTTTGTGTCAGAAAGTGTTCTAGTAGTTTATTTTTATTAACTAATGACCAGGTGACTATGGGAAAGCTTTCTTTAATTATGGCATTTAATTAAAAATTATTTTATGTTGACCTACGTTGACGTAAACTACTACTTACCTAGGTTATGTATCTGTTGATAGTAAACCAAATCATAACAACAACTGAATCGTATAAAAGACGAAATATATTGCCATATCGACGCTGTTAAGCCAGGATTCATGACTAGCCTACTAGGGATAATGTCCCAGCAAATAAATGAAACACGATTGGGTACCAAATAGCGTATCTTGTTTCACCGCTTACTACAGCCTAACCATTCAACTTAAATAGTGAAATTCAGTGCTAAATGTTGAATAATGGTGAAACTGTTGGTTAGTATCAATTTTAGTCAATTACTTACCACTACATGCACACTAGTACCAACTTAGTGAGTATACTGTTAAACTTCTAAGTGTTAACAGAAAAAGACTGAGTCATTCAAAAGTGTACCTTCAAAAACGAGAAATTCAACAGATGAAAGGGCTAAGAACAATTTTAGGAGAAGTTTGTCAACTAATCTAACTAGCAATGCCTAGTGCAGGACCTCCAAGATCGTGTATGTGTGTAAACCAGGAAAAATGATGCAAAAAACTATCGTCTAGTCCTTCTTGAACGAATACTCGTTAAGACAAAAGACGTGAGACATTTTAAACATCCAGACGTGAGTCGGCAGTTTGTTTGGCAATTATTATTCCTTTGCGTTCTGAGTGGAACATAGCGCTTCAACAACACGTCTCCACTTTGTTCTGTTTTCTGCCGTCCTCTTCAGCTGGGTCCACGACTGACCAAACTCTCTCATCTCTTCCTCACACGATCTCCTCCATGTCACCCTAGCGCCGACAATTACCTTGGGGTTCCAGTGGGAAGTCGTGACCCGTAGGGTGCAGAAGGTCGGGTGTGAGGACAAATACTCGCCGAAGACATTGGCTGGCGGTTGCGCTATATCGTGAATTGGTGTAAGTTAGAATTCATGGGCCATTGGATTGAGTCCCAGTGGCTTAATGGTATACGAGCTCGCCTTGTAACCAGGAGGTCCTGGGTTGAAATTTCGGTGGGTGCGTACTGCTGAAGAGTCCCAAACTAGGAAGAAACAGCTGTCCAGTACTCCCAGGTTTCCCAGTTGTTCTCAAACCGATGTCAGCTCATGATGAAATCCTGCAACTAAATGAATAATAAATTTTTAGACACTTAATCGCCAAAGTAATATTGCACTAACTGTTATCTATAATCCAAGAATTTAGTTCATTTTACTCTTAGAGTAAGCAGGGAATTGACTGTAATGGAAACGAAAGGGTACATTACAAAGTGAGCAAGTAGAATCACAGGGAATATAGTGAATAAAAATACGTCAATGGAAGTGTTAAAATAGAACGAATGTAAGCGGGCTAATACGATTATGTGGGAAAAGTATCACTGAAATTTTCAAATACTGACCAATATTGTTTTGACAGTTGCATCCATATAGCGTTCGCTACCCTAGATATTAAAAGCAGAACCAGTTACGTCCTTGTCTGAATGGCGTTAATCCTCCTTCAGACTAACCCAATTTATTCAGACGCTGAACGGCCATAATTATACTGACTAACTTGACCAACTTACCTAGATATAACCTACTCTATGATTCCAGCACACATTATTAAAACGACAGAAATCTATATAAAAGTACTCAAAAGCTGTAAGTAGGATACCTTGGTAAGCGCTTACATTTCATTACTGGAAAATTGATAAGTATGCTGCAACTTCTCAAATCATTAATTTCAGCTGTTCAAATCTTTAACTTAGGATCTTTTACACTTAGCAGTCGATATTTAAAAAACATACCAAGGATTTCAGTTCTCCTAGTCGAGAAACTTCACATTCTGTCAGAGTTCTCACTAACAGAAGCATAATGTCAAGTGTTGGTCTGCAGGGATCTGATTATTTACAAGTTTGATCAGAGATTGGCATCCGTCTGTGGAGGCCGGAAAATATCAAATTATATGTTCATTGTAAAATAGTAAAAACAATGAATTCACAGAAAATCATGGTTGTTACTTGAGACTGAATGAAGACACTACGTAGGTGAGCGCGCAATACGGACGACACAACTTCCCTCTACACCTTCAAGCTTTCCACATTTGCCAATCAACTGTGGCTCGTACCTGATCCGTACATTCACATTAGGATCCTTTGACCTAATCCACATTTCTCTCCGCAAGTACCCTCGGGCCATTGGCATACTCTTACGTTCAGTGAGCAACTGTATGCCCAAAAGAAGTATTACTTCATCCCTACAATTCCGTACTTCTATATTTATGTATTTTGGGACAATTATAACTCATCAAATAACTGTATTTTATGTGTATATTAATTTGTGTGGACTGAATTTCTTTCTATATACATACCTGTTTGT